GTGTCCAATTTGTGAAGGAAGTGCGTTGCCCGTTGCTCCGTTGACCTCGAAACTTCTCGTGCTCTCAAAGGGGGGCATTGCATGACACGTGCCAGGACATGGCATTTTGAGCCCGCCTGCAATATTGAGACATTTACTGCATCCGTAGGGTTTCAATGCGGGAAATTGCAGATCTGCACGACGGCCACCTGAAATGATGTCCAGAGGTGGTTTGTCAAATCATATATGATGTCTTTGCGGTATGTGTAAGCCTAGTGCAACCCAAGGAGGGGCATGCCCCACCACAGGGAGGCGAATGTACCTTGGCGGCATGCCGGATCCAGCCGTTAAAATCAAACAAAAATCACATGATGCTGGAAATACTCGGGACCTGGCACAGTGTCGTCATATGGTCCTTGTAGGGTGTGGTGAAATTTTGAGCACGTTTCGCAAAAGCCTGGCTGGAGGTCGCTTGTAAACTACACCATCTCCGGGGTAGTATTTGGCTATCAAGAGAGAATGTGTCCGGTTTGTGAAGGAAGTGTGTTGCCCGTTGTTCTGCTGACCTCAAAAGTTCTCGTGCTCTTAGAGGGGGCCATTGCATGACATGTGCCAGTATATGGCATTTTTCAGGCCCGCTTGCAATATTTGAGACATTTAGTGCACCCATAGGGTTTTAATGCAAGAAATTGGAGATATGCATGGCACCACACCCCCGAGCTGCGTATTGCCTCTTCGGAGCCCCGCGGTAGGTGTTTGAAGTTGCCACCACACTTCGTAGCATGTAAGAGGACCCATCACAAGATTTGGTGGCATAGCTAGCCCCCGAAGGCCACCGACCACACTTGTAGACAAGCGAAGAACAATCCGTACATATGCAGATGTATCTATGGTCTATGTGGCATGCCAGCGGGGCCAGGGCCACTGTCAGCCAATGTCACATTGTAGATACGCAGAGAAGCCCTTTGAACAATGGACTTCTCCACCTCGTTGTGATGGGTTCAGCCCATGTGAAGTCTCTAGAACAAGGTCCGGGCCCTAGCCGCCACAAGATTCCCTCTACGTCAACCCGACGCAGACGTTTCCCCCCTCCAAGTGTCGGCGGTAGCTCCGTCCGTGAAGGGGGTCACACTTCGGAGCCCAGCGTTAGGTCTTTGAAGTTGCCACCACACTTTATGGCATGTAAGAGGACCCATCACAAGATTTGGTGGCATAGCTAACCCTCGAAGGCCACCGACCACACTCGTAGACACGCGAAGAACGAACCGTACATATGCAGATGTATCTATGGCCTATGTGGCATGCCAGCGTGGCCAGGGCCCACTGTCAGCCAATGTCACATTGTAGATATGCAGAGAAGCCCTTTGACCAATGGACTTCTCCACCTCGTTGTGATGGGGTCAGCCTATGTGAAGACTCCAGAACAAGGTCCGGGCCCTACCCACCACAAGATTCCCTCTACGTCAACCCGACGCAGACGTTTCCCCCCTCCAAGTGTCGGTGGTAGCTCCGTCCGTGAAGGGGGTCACACTTCGGAGCCCAGCATTAGGTGTTTGAAGTTGCCACCACACTTTATGGCATGTAAGAGGACCCATCACAAGATTTGGTGGCATAGCTAGCCCCCGAAGGCCACCGACCACACTCGTAGACACGCGAAGAACGAATCGTACATATGCAGATGTATCTAAGGCCTATTTGGCATGCCAGCGTGGCCAGGGCCCACTGTCAGCCAATGTCACATTGTAGATATGCAGAGAAGCCCTTTGACCAATGGACTTCTCCACCTCGTTGTGATGGGGTCGGCCTATGTGAAGACTCTAGAACAAGGTCTGGGCCCTACCCACCACAAGATACCCTCTACGTCAACCCGACGCAGACGTTTCCCCCCTCCAAGTGTCGGCGGTAGCGCCGTCCGTGAAGGGGGTCACACTTCGGAGCCCCGCGCTAGGTGTTTGAAGTTGCCACCATACTTTGTGGCATGTAAGAGGACCCATTACAATAGATAGCCCCGAAGGCCACCGACCACACTCGTAGACACGCGAAGAACCATCCGTACATATGCAGATGTATCTATGGCCTATGTGGCATGCCAGCGTGGCCAGGGCCCACTGTCAGCCAATGTCACATTGCAGATATGCAGATAAGCCCTTGCGTTTTTTATTTATGTTATACATAAACGCCTAAAATAAAATTAAAGAAAAATAGATGGTGGGGTTTCGAACCCGTGGACTGTGTAAGGGAAGGTGGACAACCACAAGAGGGATGATGATTCATGTTTAAGTAACATGACTAATTTGTATATCATATAATATGGACCGAAAAGTATTTTTTTTAACTGTCACACAAAAAAGGGAGCATCGTGCCTCGACCATGTGACCTTGTGGTCAGCATTAACTAAGATTACCACTAGGCTACAACAACACAACATGTCTAGATGGGATAAACATTTTTCATGTTGCTATTCCTTCTTGTTCTATGTAAGAAAATAAATTATATTCTTGTGTTTGCGACAATTAAAAAATATGTCTTACAGAAAAACAGGTACGCGACATTAAAAAAATAAACATCATAAAACACATTTGTGTAATTAAAACAACCATATGTTGCATTTTAAAAATGTTCAGGCATTCGAAAAACTATTGATGACATTTTTAAAAATGTTTATACAATGTGAAAATTTTTTAGCGTTGTTTAAAAAAATGTGTCGTACAATCCAAAAAAGTTTATCCACTTATTTGAATAAAGTTTCAAAAACTTGTATTTGAGAACATGTTAATCGTATGTTTAAAAATTATTACATGTGCTAGAAATTTAGTATTTTTTAAAAAATTGTACGTATAATTAACATTGTTCCAAATATGAGTTTTGAAACTTTTTTGAAATACATGTTAGACATTTTCAGATGGTACGGAACATTTTTAAACTACATGAAATTTTTTGTACATTGCGTAAACATTTAAAAAATATCATTAACAATATTTCAAAATGCCTGAACATTTTTAAAATGCAACATATGTTTTTTTAATTACACAAATGTGTTTTACAATGTTTATTTTTTTTCAGAATCACATACTTATTTTTTGTAACACAGAAACATTTTTGGCGCTTATAATACATAAATAAAAAACAGATTTAAATTAATCATTTTTAAAATAAAAACAATTTAAAAGATAAAAAACAGATAATATATATGCCTACGGCAAGGCCGTCGGCATAGTATTGCCATGTGGCAGTTCCGAAAAAAACCCCAGATAAAACATATGCCGACGGCCGCCGTGAGGGCCGTCGGCATATATTTGACAGCGTTAGGCTGCCGTCTGAGGCCGGGCCACCAGGGCCACCTATATGCCGACGGCCACACTTTACCGACGGCTGCTGTCGGCATAGTCAGAGATATGCCGACGGCCTTTCTATGCCTACGGCTGTCGTCGGCATAGTCTAAGGTATGCCGACGGCCTTTCTACGCCTACGGCTTTCCCTAGGCCGTCGGCATAGCTCCGTCTATGCCGACGGCCCCGACAAAAGGCCGTCGGCATAGAATAGGCCGTCGGGGTAGCCAATTATTCCGGTAGTGCTTCCCCCCTCCACATGGCCGCGGGTTCTGGATTGGCATGGGAGGCTGTTTGCAATCACTCTCCTTGTCTGCCACTGTTTATAATGGCATGGCATGCTTCGATGTACATTCCACGATGAAGACGAGGGCTTGTTGATGCCCCCACACCTGGCACGTCTCAGGTAACAGCATATTCATGTGTGCAGTGCAGGCACACAAGCTCGGCATGATTGGCCGTCCGTGCAGGCTGCCACGGCATTGGCGATCGAGAGGACGGGACGGTAGGTCCCGGCCAGAAATCTCGTGGGCTCAGATCAAGCTGAGGTGAGCAGATCGTGTCTGCACGCCGGTGGTCACGCCCCCTGTGACGATGATATACAGCCGACCGATCACGGTGGTTGTCACGGGCTGCTGGATCTCAGACGTGACGAATGTTCGATGCTGCAGCTGTCACCCACGTATGTGTCTCCGCTTGGACTCTACATCCTGTGTGGTATCATATGATGACACCTTCAGAAATCTCTAGCGCTCCACCGAGAGGTGGCTCTAGTAGGGAGCACGTGAATTTCAGGACAATAAACGAGCTGACACCAGCAGAAATCAAGGCAAGTTACCCCACAGTTTGTGTTTTCTACTGCTGCAACGGGATGGACACGGCTGCCTGCTACGACGGTGAAATATATCTTTCTGGGAGAGCGCGACGACGTCTCACCTCCACTCCACGCAATCTCGTTCCGGAAGAAGAACCCAGTCGCAATTCGTAGATGACCGTTTCCCACGGCATCTGCAGGGCCCGGGGTACGAAATGATCTGGGTGGGAGCACACGTGAAGTACGAACGAGCGCGGGTACCACGAGCTCTCCAGCCCATCCGTCCACCCAACAACCAGGAAGCGGATCATGTCAAATCACGACGAAACCATAAAATAATCCTACAAACTGGGATCAGTAAGGTGGGCAAATGATAGTACAGAATCTAACAGATCATTTCGAATTCAGAGGCGGAAATTTTGCACATATACGTGACGATTTTGTTAGAGAATTTTTTTCTTTCGAGCGGACGATTTTGGTAGAGATTTGTTTTTTTTCTTGAGCGGACGATTTTGTTACAGAATTTATAAATAGCTTAATCGCCTCATTTACACGTAGTCTGCACGTTTTAGGCATTTTTCCACGCTGGGAACTAGTACTGCTGCGGCTAGTCGGCAGGGGCCCAGAGCTTAAGCGCACGCCTATATAGAACTGCTACCTAGGGAGTGTGGTGTGGTGTGGCCTTGTGGGGGTGAGGTTCATCCGTCAGAGGCCAAATTGTTGGAGAGGCAGGGCAGAGGCTGGCCCCTCGCGAGGCTGTGTGCCGGCGGGTAACAGCCACGGCGAGGCTGGGCGGCCGTCCCCGGCGTCCGGCGAAGCCCTTCGCCGGCCTCGGCGACACAGAGGCGAGGCAGCCGGCGACTCGGCGGCACCGGCAGATGGGGGCGCGCGTCATGGCGTGGTGGCGAGCAAGGGTGGTCGCGCCCATGCGCCGCGCCTGCAGGCTCGCCGTGGCCGCCGCCCGCGCCCGCGTCCGCAAGGGAGGTACGTGAGCCACCACTACTCGCTACTCTGCTTTTGTTGGAACTGCCACTGAAACGTGAACTGGATCGATGAACTTCATAGAAACAGTACAATGCAATTGCAATCGACTCGTTTTCTTCGACTTTGCATGTTAGCATAGGCAGGCTCAAAGGTCTTGCAGGCAGAGCAAACCTGCCATTCTTTGCTGAACCGGTGGATGTAGGCGTGCATCTAGCTAATGCGACCGAAAATTCATCATGACTGAACTAATTAATCTCCGAGACCAAATTTGCGGCAGCCGTCGTGCTTAGTTTTTTTTAGAGAAGACACTCAAATGGCATCTTATAGTACTATCTGATAATTATCAAGAATATACCCAATACTTAATGGAAAGACAATAAGATTCGTGGTCAGTTCATGGAACCAGAAGATAGTAGCAGTGCTCCAAATAATTAGGTGAAGGGGCATTATCACAAGAAGCAAACAAAGGGATCAGAGAGATCGGCCATGGTCCATGCGCCGATGCGCGGTATCTTTTTGCACGCTGCACACCAAAGGAAGGACTAGGGACACGTTATCTCGTGCTTCCAACCGCTGAACCGCCCATTTGCATTACGTACTTTGGACCACCTATTCTAATCCGCAGCCCTTATGGTGGTTACGCGGATACACCATCCACTCTTTTCTCTCTAAGACAGGAGTATCTAGTGGTAGTAACACAATGCATGTTGTATTTAAGTCACTTATTTTGAGACGGAGGGAGTATTCAAGAGTACTAAGACACTGTTTTAATCTTTTCCTTTTTGCGAATGTTGTAAATAGGAGTACTAACACGCTGCTTTAATCTTCGTGTATGGGATGAATGGTATGCAGAGTGCGGGGTCCTGAACCTTCACCAGGACGTGCAGACGTGCGGCTACCACGACGTGCAGGTGATGTGGGACATGCTCAGCTCCGACAAGGAGGCCGCTGCCGCCGCCTCGGCGCCGGCGAAGCAGCAGCAGCGGCGGAAGAGGCCGTTCTGGAGGCTGCCTCCGTCGTTCTGGCCCGCCCGGTCGCCGCGCGCCGCTGCAGCGCAGTGAGGCGAACGGCGTACGAGCTGCTGCCTGGCAATGTGGACAGAACGCATATATCATGGCACCCTGCCGCTGCCATGCTGCTGCCTGCCATTGCGCCCCGAGTTCATGGCAATGATCCCTGCGACCAGACCAGCCCGACCATGCATGTGTATACAAGATTTTTGTATAGTTGTTGGACAGAGCAATTTGCTTCCGCTCTTATCTGGTGTTAATTTGACCGTGCTCTGGCTTGGACAGAGCAGTTTGGACTTTGGACTTTGCCCCCATCGACATAGTCTTTGACCATCCTTATGCGGGGGCAGCTAATACTCAACGAGCAATGCTAAGTTCACGGGTTTTTTTTTTTTTGCACGTGATCAACGGACAGGCTAACGTGGGGACTTAGATTGAAAGTTAGGGATGAAACTAGGGGGGAGAGGTTAGTTAGTTGGAAAGATTATTGAATAGGAGAGTGATATTTGGCAACAATGTGTCCGATAGGAAATGTACTACCCCGCCAGCTTACCAGGCCGATCATCCTGCCACCAGGCCGGTCACCCCGCAAGCTTACCAGGCCGATCACCCGCCAGCTTACCAGGCCGATCAACGTACAAAGCCCAACAGAAAATGTCATCCCCCCACGACGCACTTTTCAGATCGCAACTTTTCCCCCACCACCCTTACCTCCGACGCAAGTATACCCTCTCTCACCCTCCCCACAACCCACACGCCCCTCCCCACCACCCACCCACCCCTCCCCCCTACACAGCTGCTCAAAACCAACACCAAAAACCCAGCCCTCCTCCAGATCTGGATCAAACCAGAGCAAATCATCAGGG